AAATACGTAAATGCATTATTAAGGAAAGAATTCAATTAAACATTTAAATTACTATAAAGTAATTGGAAGAAAATCATTTCATCTTAAATGTGGATCAAATTAAGGAAAAAATTATACCTCATTTCTTTTAATTAAATTGTTTCAATCTATTTACGTTAAATTGCTTCAATTTGTTTACAACTCTTTTGCGTACGTTCGATCATTTACACCTCCATATCTCTTGCTTGCTTTTTTTTTCGAAAATATTTGAGTGATTAAAGATGATGGTAATCAATTGGACAAATATAGAAATATTAAATAAACCAAGAAAACAAAGCAAATACTTAATAAGGTTTACAAAAAGTGATCATCTGAAACCATGTCCTTATATTATTCCACGTTTTTATGCATTTAAAGCAAAGTTAATGTTTGAAATGAAAATAATGAACAGTTAGCTGGAAAAGATTGGTGAAGTATCTTTCCAGAATAATATTTATGGGTCAGTTTCGAATCAAATAAGCTATCAAACAGGCAATTTACTGTATCAATAACAAACCGGTAATTGCAGCATTTTCTCGACGATACACTTGAACATAAGTAAACAAAGAGGTCAATTAGGAAACTTAATGAGATGTAAACAACTTATCGGACAAATGGACATTGCTCGGTGAACTGTACATACAAGAAGACAATCACCGCAGTCTTTTTTCAGAGTCACAATTACAGTTTTACCCGACAAATAGTCGCAATTAGAGCATGAACCCATTACTGTTGCTTTTAGAACGACTGACTTTTTCATTCTTTGTGACAGATTGGGTCATTCCAGTGCAGCACTGTATTTCGCTAATCTTATCAATCTTTCGTAAACTCTTTAAAATACATGCTCTCTAGCTTTCTGTTGTTATTATTCAACTGTGTAAATAACTTTTGTTTTTTTCTGTAAACGTTAACAGTCGCCCATATTCCGCTTCAAATATCAGTACTTATGCTTATCATCTTATCATCCTTCCTTTGTGTTCTCTTAGATGAGATGAGATGGTCTTTCAAACTTCATTGATCTTTGGTACTCGATGATTTATTGATTTCCTATTTGATTCAATGATTCAGTTTTCTGCTAGCAGTTTTCATATGACGGGAATATTACTGTAAATCTAGGCCTGTTTTGATTTTAGTTTGCAGTTTGTTGTCTATTTGCATATATAAATATCAGTTGTCTATTTGCAACAACAATTTATTTTGGATTTAGTTTGCAATTCAGTTTGCAATTTCAGGCAAATGGTTTATAATTTCAACCTTTAGATTGCAGGAAGAGTTATGTTAAGTTTACGAATTCGCACACAGTTTCGACTGGATACAAGTAAATGCCGTTTGCAGTCAACGTTAGCGGAAAAGATGAAACAGGCTGTATCCGGAATTAATCCTAAAGATGATGAAGAAGACCAAAAACGAGTTTTGAATGAGCAGCTAGACAGTAAAGTATAGTTTACATCCCATTTCTTTAATTTACCATCCGAAATTCTTTTCCTCTCAATCGTATTAAATCAGATAAGGTCATGAAAAAAAGGATAGAACATATTTCGAAAATCCTCAATCTCCCCCGAAAATATTGGACGTTTCGTGGATGAAGACTGATTAGGTGAATTGACGGAATGATCTGATAGTTGATATTATGATATTCTTCAATATTGCCAGTCATTTCAAACAAGTGGAAGAACTGAATCAAGTGATATTCGTTCGCAACAGGGATTTATTATTGAAATTCATATCCTTGTCAAGTTTCAAATATTTTTATTGAAAAATTGTGAAAAACTTAATTGTCTAACACTTTAATAATTTAATAGGGTGAACCGTTTCGTCCCGTATTTTTGTCTCCAAAACGCAAATTGCGCATGCAGTTAAATATCGAAAGGGAAACAGGCCAAATGAAAGCGCAAAATTTACCACGTGGTGATTTATTTCAACGAATGATGGTTAGTAATAATATCTTGCTTCTCCGACAGAAGTTACGCTGTACAATCATTTGTTTTTGATATTTAAATAAGAAGAATTGGACAAATTGGTGAGTAACTTTCACTGAAGATATGTATCTGTGGTACAGTAAACTGCTGAAATATATAGATCTTGTTGTCTCGATTGCAAGTTTTAAGTTAAAATAATCAAGTAAGGAATTACTTTGTTTGTTTCTGAAAAGCTGGCTAGCCGTTTTACTGAAATTCCAAAATGCTGTGTTAAATTATATCGCTATCGGGACAAAAAAAATTGGACTTTTATTTTACTCTATGTCCATGTATGTATGTCAGACTTTATCTTCAGATCATTCCATTATGCATATAGTTGAGAATTAAATTTGAAAAAGAACATTTAGGTTCGTCGGCCGCGAAAGGAAGAAATGAGTACCGAGCAAGACTGGCCAAGTGTTTGGCCAGTAGCACGTTCATTCCGTTCCTCTGTGGTACCACTACCAGTTCGCATGGGTGCTAGGAGGCATCCAGAAAGGAGGGCACCGTTCAAAACGGTATTTTTTTTTTTTTTTGATATTCCTGTGCAATGCTTTTAACAGAGTTTCTCTGCGAAAGTACTGATAATATATTTTGATCATGAAGCCATATATTTATTCACATACTTTTAAAAGCTATGCATTGTAGAAATTTTAGGAAGGTAATTTGGAATTGGTTAAAATACCGAATTTCCTTCATCTTACTCCAGCAGCTATTGAAAGGCACTGTAACGCAATCAAAAGTTCGTTTGCTTTTAATATTAACTTCTTTGCAAAGTTAGCTTAAAGATAGATGCTTTAAGAAATAGGAATTGTCAGTGAAGTATGAGATACATTATCAAAAATTTTAATTAGTCCTATATTACATTATTATGTGTTAACAATTGGAGTTCAGAAATGGTTTGATTTACAATGGCTAGATTTACAATACCCATTACATAAGTAACGCATTACACCAAATGAGTAGATCCATGAATATTTGAATTATCACTTACTAATAATGCCCATTCCTATTTTATCGTTACTTGATTTTTCGCATTTCAGAATTTTGTACAAAGTGGCCGGAGAAATTGGAAGAGAAAGCACGTCATAAATTTTTTCCTTTAACAGTGTCTTATTGCGATTATGTCCATCAGGGTAACTCGTTACGTGATATGCGTTCACGTGTCATTATTGTTCAACTTAAGCTATCCGCACTTCATTTGGATGAACATGCTGTTGATAAATTGATTCGACTAGCAGGAGATAGGTATAATCCTGAAAACGATATGCTCACGCTTGTAACTGACAGGTAAGTTTTTTAGTTTTCCTTTCTAATTTTCGTTTTTTCATATTTGTGTTTGTCTTGATTCGTTTTTTTTAGACCATTATATTTCAGGAAATATTGTATATTTCTTTTTTTTTCCAAAAGTCGTAATATTTTTATTACCCCTTGATAAATGCAGAAATAATTGCCTACGATTAAATTTTCATCTCTTTCAATCGCAAGTTAAAATTTAGAAGATTTCAGGTGTTTTACAAGAAAACAAAACTACGACTATGCTATGTATCTTCTCATTGCTTTATATAGTGAATCTTTCGTAAGTGTACCAGTTATTATGTTTGGGGCTGTTATGGAACCAAAATCATGTAGTTATTTAGAGAAACTATGCGCTAAAATTTTGAATTGATGAGATCTGAATTTCTTTTTGAAGACAAGTGGAAAAAGGTTTCATTCCATGAATATCTATAAGAAAAAGGGGAGGAGGAAAAAAATACTAACGAAATGGGGAACGGAACAAATGGGAAGTTGTTTCTGATAGATATAGTTTATCTGCCATCATAAAATCTTCGATCTAACGATCTTTTAAACAGCAAGCTATATGAATTCTCTGGAGAAGGTAAAAATTTTGGCTGTTGCCAATGTATTTTACTTTGGAAAATACATGTCAGTATTTTATGCTGCCAAAGAAAGTGAATGGGAATCCGTAAGAATTTCTATTTTCTGGGTCTTGCTTTAGATTTTGGAATTAATATTTCAAGTCATTAGTTTTTGCAGAAAGTTGAAGATTGGGAAGCAGAGAAATTCGAGGATATCCGATTAATATCACGGACAACTGATTTCAAAGGTTCCAAAATGGAAAATAACTTACAAAATTTGCTTAGTAATATGAAGGAGGAAAAGGTGTTATTTAAAGATTCTTTTTTTTGGCTTGTTGAGGTTGCAATTTAATGGAATTTCAGAATAATTCCTGTTGTTTTAGAAAGAATTAGATAAGATAAGGTAAATTTCTTCAATATTTTTAATGATATTAAATTGACGTCAGTATTTTCAGATTTAATTAGGGAGTACTTCTGAGTTACCAACTATTTAGCGGCACGAAGTTATGTGTGATTTTGGTCCTAAATAACAATTACTGTATAAAATCCAAAATTTTGTACTCTTTTGAAGCTAGTTTTAGGGTGATGATATATTTACGAGACAAAATATCGATTCGAAACTCGAGGAATTTAGTAAATCATGGGAAAATTACCGGAACAGTGTATGTATTTTTGTTGATTTGTTCTAAAACGTTGTGAGGCAAACACTGCCGAATCTACTTTTGTTTTCGTAGTTCAGGAATTTATATTACTTGGGAAATACCTCTCAGAATCTATCGAAAAATGTGTCAAGCAATGCTAGGACACGTGTATGTAACCTATGATCATTTACAGAATTCTAGCTGACTTATTTTTTCCATGAAGTTCTAGTTGTTGTATATTCCCATCATTTTAATTATTTTACATTTCTGTCCAAACTGTAATGGTCAGTTAATTATTCTGCAATCACTGAAAACTTCTTAGACAGGCCGTAACTAATTTAAACTAAAAGATTATATGTGGTAGAGAAATGGTGGTTTTTATCCTTTTTGTACCTTGCATGGATTAGTTGACTGAGCTTACGGGAATGATTTTTAAGTTAAATTTTTTCAGAAGGAAACATTTGAAACAGTGCGCAGTTATGCAGAATCAATCAAAAAATTACTTGGGATTTCTGAGTTACCGAATCAAAAGACCGTCAATACATCTTCATCATAGCCGCTTTGCTTGATCTACTTATTGTCAAAAATAGGTTGGCATTTTTTCTCTGTCGACTGTTTCCTTCTCATCGTGACAAAGACTGAGAGGTTCTATTCTTTCTTACCGACTTCTTTAATTTTCTTCGCTTCTCATACTTGGGAAATGAACCTCAAACTTGGATAATTAAATCTTATTACGATAAATTTGGTTAATGCAACAACGAACTCGGCAATTACGACTTCGACATGACAATTAATAACGATAATATGAAGGGGAAACTAATGACGCTCGGTGTTGTCTGTTCAACTGCATTGAAACACATCTTTAGAAGCGATTTTGTCCTCGAATTAGAGAGAGAATTCTGGCACAGTTCTGAGGTCAGAGGTCAGTTCTGAAACTAGAAAAATTACCACCTTTGTCATCTTTATTATCCCTTTACCCTTTCTATCCATATTCCTATGTAGCTGTAATTTTGATATATTAAATCGGATTTTATTGTTCAATGTTTCAATGGTATGTAATTAAGTAAGTATAAAGGATTGTAATGCTGCGTTAACAATTGAAATTAATGACTGATGATATAGAATTATATAAAAAATACCACACTTATTTAAAAAATGCTACACTTTTTTCTTCAAGAAATAATATAATTGCTATATTTTGGAAACAAGCCAAAAACTAACAGTTCGATAACTTCTAAATCACAGTCAACCACAATGTATGTTACCCACTGCCAAACTATATGCAAACGCAAATGCAAAAAAACAAAATAAAATGTAAGAATCAGTCAAAAACAAAGTTTGCAGAGCTATTAATTATGGCTACCTGCAATCAGTTGCAACTAATTACAATTAATTACAACATGTAGTCGAGTAAAGTAAGGTCGATAAATGTAGCAAAATCTTAGTCAAAAAATGGATAAATGATTATATGTTGGACGACGCTATTTTCAACTTTTTTCTATCAATGAACATTTCTTTTGGTTATTAAATTCTGGTAATAAAAATAAATTTCCTCAATGTTTACAAATTTTAGATTCAAAATACAAAGTATTAATTATGTTCTCTGACCTTCTCTATCGTCATTTCTATGAAGCTGTAACTTTATTAAATCCGATCCTATCATTCAGTTTTCCGATGCTCAGAGATTAAGTAAGTATAAGGGAGTGTAATGATGAAATTAACAACCTGAATTAATGTCTAATGATGTCAAATGATGAAATTAACAACTGGAATTAATATCTCATTATGTAGAATTAATAATATCCAAGTGCTAAATGAAAGAATTTCCGTAGTTAGGTCTTCAAAACTGCACAAAGTTGATTAAATATTGAAATTTAGGATTAGGGTTGAAGTAATGTTCGATGTTATGGATGTTCTCAATACTTTGGTCGTCCAATTATTCCATCTAGATAAAAATGAATGATTTTAAAGAGGAGAATTGTGGTTTCTACTCTTTGCAACACTGAAATTAGTTGTATGGAGTTGAAATTTTAAATTTATTGGAAAATGACTTGTTTCCTACATATTCCTACATACTTCCTATTGCTTTAATTCAGGAAAAGTCATTGCAATGTGATCTGCATGCCGGATCTGAAAGCCTAAATTGCAGCAAAAAAGAAACATGGATCAAGATTATTGATACGAGGATGCAATGAGTTACTAAAGCAATCGCTTATCAGAAGTAAACTTACTCTGTGACATGCAAGTGTTATGAACAAAGTATTGGATCCGTAAAACAATCAAATGAATTTCCGAAAGATTTCAAAAGAAAAAAAATTGGCCATTCCAGATGGGAATAATCAGTCCGTCACATAGGGATGCAAAAAAAATATTTACTTCATTGCCTCGTTCGAAACAAATTCAAGTTTACATCGAGTGCTATTGGCGTTTCACCGGGATCTGTTTTGTTGATAAGCTTCCGGTTGAAAACCAGAAAGATTAATCTGAAAGATGAACAAATCCTTCCAGCAACCATTAGAGACAATGATATTGAAGTTGAATGATATATGACGATATGCCTTCTAGTATACTGTAGCAAATTAACTGAGTGGTAAATTCATAAAACTAAAGGGTCTGAGATATAATTTTGATAGAAAGAAGCTTACCCATCCAATGAATGTACCATAATCCATACAATCGTGCTTGATATAAATAGTATCCATTTATCGGTGGTGAAATATGAAGGAACATTGAATGCAATACAGCACAAAATGTAAATCAATCCAAGTTTGCATGACTGTAAAGGTGACAACAACGTAACTTATAGTAACATAATCTGACATGAAACTTTCGTAACAAACTCTCGAAATCCTAGAAAGAGCATATTTGTAAGCAGAAAGTATGTCAAGTCATTTTGATAAATCTAATATTCTTTCGAGCTTCTCTCTCATATCTTCATAAATTCTTTTTCTCAAAAGTATTTGAATTTCTCTTCATTACTTGTTTGAAGAACATTATTTCTTTTTCGTTGATAGCACTACCAATTGACCTTATCGAATTTCTTTGCATTGCCTGAAATCTAAGAAATAATCATTGGAGTGTATTGGATCTGAGCGCAGGAAATATGCATAAGGCATTACTGCTAGTACAAATTGTAACGAATTACTGAAACATTCGCTTGTCAGAAGTAAGCTTACTCTGCGATATGCAATTATTTTGATCAAAGTAATGAAATCGATGAATGCCATAGCTACTGCCAAAATTACTGATACTATAGCATCAGTTCTGGCACATATTTGACCATGG